CTGGTGGGTTAGAGCAGGGAGGGGCTGGGAGCCAGGACTCCTGGGTTCTCTCCCCGGCTCTGGGAAGGGAATAGGGGCTGGTGGGTTAGAGCAGGAAGGGGCTGGGAGCCAGGACTCCTGGGTTCTCTCCCCAGCTCTGGGAAGGGAGTGGGGCTGGTGGGTTAGAGCAGGGGGGGCTGGAATTTGGACAAGGAGTGGGGTGAAGAAACTCCAAGCTGCCCCCCAGCACTGAAATCCAACCCTGAACATTGCTCATGGTACAGCCCCACAAACTTACCTTCGGGGGTAGTTTTGACCTGATCCAAAGCCTTGTGAAATGTTGCCCCTTCCTGTTAAGAGATGACAGACCCTGTATAACCAGCCGCCCTGCCCCAGAGGAGGCTGCATCTCAGCGCCAGGCGAGGGGTCCCTGTGTCACCAGCTGCCCCGCCCCAGAAGTGGCTGCATCGCAACGCCCCTTGTTAACATGCCCACAGCTCTGCTATCCTGGGAATGGGGAACTTTCCAGCTGAATCCAGGACTCCTGGGTTTTATCCTGGTTTGGAGAGGGGAAGGGAGGGGGAACTAGTGATCAGAGGAGCAGGAGGCTGGGAGCCAGGACTTCTGGGTTCTATCTCCACCTGTTGCTACCACCCCTGGGCAGCTCCATTCCCTCAGGGTGCGATTACGCTTCCATCCGCTGCTCACTCGAATCAGTCGCACGACATCCTTGAGGTCCCTCAGAGCCCAGGGTCGGACGACGTAGCTCATGGCTGCTGGCCTCTCTTTTCCTCTCTCTCCCTTCTCGGCTTTTGGAATCCTGCCCTTTCGGTCAGATATCCAGGAGGAGGAGGAGGAGTCCTGGCCACCCCGAGAGCCCTCGGTGGCTGCGGTTCCCTATGGAGCCAGGAGGGGGCACCAAGTAGGAGGCAACCCCACCGGTAAAACCGACCAGACGGGATCCCACTGCTAACACCAATCGGAATCCAAGACACATTAGCCACAGCACCTCTCCCTCCGAGCCAGTGGGGCAGGGGTAGCCACGTAAAAGGAGCCAGTTTCCCCAGCTACAGGCACTCCTGGCCCAGAGACCGGTGTGCATCCGTGGGGACAGGGTGTGATGAGAGCATGGAACTGAGCCCTCGGGTCAAAGATGGGCCCAGGAGAAGCTGGGTGCTGTACCCATGGGGGAGGATGGATCCAGTGAGAGAGAGAGGTGTTTGGGGAGGGATGGATAGAGGAGTGTGTGGGAGGATGGATAGAGGGGTGGGTGTATGGATGGACGGATGGATGGATAGATAAATAGGCGAGTGGTGTGTATGGATAGGTAGGTAGGAGGAGGGATGGATGGATGGATACATAGGTGGACAGAGGGATGGACAGACAGAGGTATGTAGATTTGGATGGACAGATAGGTAGAAGTGGATAGCTGGATGGATGGGTAGATGGGTGGATGGACAGATGGACAGAAGTGCATGGGGTTGGATGGGTAGATGGGTGGATGGACAGATGGGCAGAAGTGCATGGGGTTGGATGAACAGATTGATGGCTGGACGTATGGACGTATGGGTGGATGAAGGGATGGATGGATGGGTGAATGGATGGATGGATAGATGACGTGAATTGGGATGGATGGATAGAGGGGATGTATGGGGTTGGATAGCTGTGTATAGGGATTGGATGTATGGATGGATGTATAGAGGGGGTGTATGGGGATGGATGGATGGATGAGTGAGTAGGAGGATGGATGGACAGACGGATGGATAGCTGTGTGTGGGAGGATGAATAGAGGTGTGTGTGTATGGATGGACAGGTAGAAGGTAGAAGTGGATAGATGGATGGATGGGTAGCTAGAGATGGACAGATGGGTGGGTGGGTGGATGGACGGATAGATAGAGATGGATGGATGGATGGATGGATGGATGGATGGATGGAT